CACAACGCCCGGCTATTTTTTTTGGTTGCAGCCGTCATTGTTGTTTGGCGGGTCCGGGCTGGGGATTCGAACCCGCCACCTTAGGTGTACGTGGCTAGCGCCTTAGCCGGTTGAGCTATAGGCGCCGAGCCCAAAGTGATACTCTTACATCAGCCTTGCATACACATGTTCTCCTTGCTACTCAGGAGGCTATGTTTTGTTTTTACTTTCTGTAGAAATGAAGGTCTCACTATGTTGTCCAAGCTAATTTCAACCTCCTGGCCTCAAGCAGTACACCAACCTTTACCTCTCAAAGACGTTAATAGGTGTTACATTGAACCTATAAATTGCTTTGGGGAATGTAGTCATTTTAACAACATCAATTCTTGTAATCCATGATCATGGGATATTTTCTCATTCATTTGTGACTTCTACAGTTTCTTTCATCAGTGTTTTGTAGTTTTGCTTGTAGAGATCATACACCTCCTTGGTTAAATGTATTCTTAGGTATTTCTTACGTTGTAACTATTATAAATGGTATCATTTCTTTGGTTCTAAGTTACATCATTATTGGTGTATAGAATTGCTACTAATTTCTCAGCTTGCTACTAATTTCTGTAGCTAAGTGGTTAGGGTGCTGGCCACATACACCAGGTCTGGTGGGTTGGAACCCGGCCAGGGCCTGCTAAAACAACAATGACAACTGCAACAAAAAATAGCCAGGTGTTGTGGCAGGCGCCTGTAGTCCCAGCTACTGGGAGGCTGAGGCAAGAATCGCTTAAGCCCAAGAGTTTGAGGTTGCTTTGAGCTGTGATGCCATAGCACTCTACTGAGGGCAACATAATGACACTCTGTCCCCCCCCCCAAAGGAATTGCTACTAATTTCTGTACATCCATTTTATAGTCCAGAAGTTTATTGTATTCGTATATTAAATCTAAGAGATTTTTGGTGAGGTCTTTATGTTTTTCTAGATGTAAGATCATGTTATCAACAAAGAGGGATAGTTAGACTTCTTCTTTTCTAATTTAGATGGCTTTTATTTTATTCCCTTGCCTGGGTGCCTGTGTTGAATAAAGTGGTGAAAATGGGTACCCTTGTCTTGTTCTGTTTCTCAGGGTGAATACTTTCAACTTTTCTCCATTATGTATGATGTTGGCTGTGGGTTTGTCATAATGGCCTTTTTGAGGTATGTTCCTTCAGCGCCTAGTTTGTTAAGGATTTTTATTATGAAGGGATGCTGAATTTTACTGAAAGTTTTTTCTGCATATATTGAGCTTATTAACATATGTAGCTAAGTGTTGGAACTACTACATTATAGTGTTAATAATATATCACATTTTTATCAGAATAAATGTGTTTCATTCATTGGTTTTCATATATTGAACCAGCCTTGCATTCCTGGTATAAAACTCACTTGATCATGGTATATTATCTTTTTCATGTGCTATTAAATTTGATTTGCTAGTGTTTTGTTGAATCAAGCATCTTTTTGTATCTTTGTTCATCAGGAATATTGATGTCTGTACTTGTATTTTTTTGTTGTTGTTGCATCCTTTTGTTGGTACAAGGTGATAGTGGCCTCATAGAATGAGTTAGGGGCAATTTTCCTCTCAAGTTTTTGGAATAGTGTTAGGAGGATTGGTATTAGTTCTTTATATTTTGTATAGAATCCAGCTATGAATCCATCTGATCTGGGCTTTATTGGCAAGGAAGATTTTTTGTAACTGATTCAGACTCACTACTCATGATTAGTCTATTCAGGATTGCTATTTCTTTTTGGATCAATCTTGGGAAGTTGTATATTTCTAGGAATTTATCCATTTTCTCCAGGTTTTCTAGTTTTTGAGCATACAATTGTTCATAATATACTATGGGGCCCTGCACAGAAGCAGGGAGACTAATTAGGAGGCTGTTCCAATGCACTAAGTAAGAGAGATAATGTGGTTTGGACCTGGCAACAGAGAATATAGAACTAAAACAAAAAAAGAGTAAGAAAATAATTCTGTATTTTGAAGATAGACCCTTTAACATTGGCTGATGGATTAAATATGGGATATAAGAGAGAGAGAGACCAAGGTTTTAGTTATGAGCCATGGGAAGATTAGAAAATAAGGAAGACTGTGGGATGATCCAGTTCTGAGAGGAGAGATTAGGAGTTCAGTATGTGGAGTATGCTCACATATCCCAGTGCAGCTGTTGAGTTTGTTGTTAGATGTATGAGTCTGGAGTTCAGGGGAAAGAGGTCTTGAGTAGAAATAGAAATTTGGAAGTTTCAGTACATAGATTGTATGTATTTAAAGCCATGAGACTGGAGATCACCAGGGTAGTGAATATGGATAGAAAAAAAGAAGAGGTCCACAAACTGAGCCCTGTGCTTGGACATTCCATCATTTGAAAAGTCAAGAGGCTTGGCGCCTATATCTCAGCAGCTAGAGCGCCAGCTGCATACACTGGAGCTGGCAGGTTCGACCAGAGCCTGGGCCTGCCAAAAAATAATGACAACATAAAAATAGCCAGGTGTTGTGGCGAGTGCCTGTAGTCCCAGCTACTTGGGAGACTGAGGCAAGAGACTTGTTTAAGCCCAAGAGTTCGAGGTGTCTGTGAGTTGTGATGCCACGGCACTCTACCCAGGGTGACATAGTGAGACTGTGTCTCAAAGAAAAAAAAAGGAAAGTCAAAAGAAGAAGGAATCAAAAAAGGAGACTGAGAATGAGCAGGCAGTAAAGTGGGAAGAAAGGGGGAGTATAGAATATGGAGCAACATGAAATAGTGTTTTCTGGTCACCACATGGCAAATGGGAGTACTTCAAAAGTGACCATAGTGATAATTCAGCAATGAAATATGCAGCACTTTTTCTAGGATGAGTTTGTGAACTTCTTTGACTGGCAGAAAGGAGGAGAATAAAGTAGCTGAATTTAAACATAAATTAATTTTCTTTATTGTTGGTTGCTAGCTTTGAAATTTTTATTCTTCATATAGTAACATTATGCAGAATTATTTTTAAAAGTTGAATCCCTATAAGTGATTGGATTCTAAAGTTATTTTGTTTTTCTTCCCTAAGCCCTTATGCAACTGGAATCTATTTTAAAGAAAATTATAAAAGAACGAAAAAGAAGAAACTTCGGTCAACATATTTTCATTGACTCCTTAGTACAGGGGAACCTTAATGACCAACAGGTGATGTGATTGTTAAATGTTTATCAGATACAAAATAATCACTCATGTATACACTGTGCTTTTCATTCACTTTAATCCAGATACTGTCCTGGAATCCAGTGGCTTTTCTTCTCTTTTATTGTGTATCATAAGTAGTACAAGCACTTAGTCTCCTGTTAGTTTGTTCTTAGCAGTAGCTGTGCATTATTTAATAATTTCAGTAAGCAAATACTGAGTGAAAATTCTTTGGTCCTAAAAGAGGAAGAACTTGTGTAAACCTCTTTTTTTGACACAGTCTCACTATGGCATCAGAGCTCACAGCAACCTGAAACTCTTGGGCTTAAGTGATTCTCTTGCCACAGCCTCACAAGTAGCTGGGACTACAGGGGCCCACTACAACACCTGGTTATTTTTTGTTGTAGTTGTCATTGTTGTTTGGCAGGCCTAGGCTGGTTTTGAACCTACAAGCCCAGGTGTATATGGCCAGCACTCTAGCTGCTGAGCTACAGGTGCCGAGCCTGTATCAGCCTTTATAGATAAATCATTCCACCTGGAGTGACGAGGTGTGGCAGTTTGGCTTATTAACAGTACTTATTCACTTGTGATGTTGTCAGGCAAAAGACAAGAAAGGAATCATTTTTGCACATCTGTGCATTGTCAGAATCCTCCGCCTCACTACATATGCAAGTCCTTGTAGTCAGAAGTGATTTCCTGGGTATGTTTTGGTGCAGGAATTGATTCAGTCTTCTAGGACAGTAGCAGGATCTTCTCCACTATTCTGAGGCTTTCTTGTTTTACTAGGACAAGTCAGAAACAGGACTCAACAAGTTTGTTTGCCAAAGTGTATCATAAACCAGTACTAAACTGGTAATATTAGCAATAAATAACCCTGATTTGATTATTACACATTATATACATATATAAAAATATTGGTTTGATGCCCGTAGTACAGTGGTTATGGCACCAGCCACTACACCAAAATGTATCATAAACCAGTAATAAACTGGTAATATTAGTATTAAAAACCCTGATTTGATTATTACACATTATATACATATATAAAAATATTGTTTTGGTGCCCATAGTACAGTGGTTATGGTACAAGGCACATACACCGAGTGTGCCAGGTTTGAACCCAGCCCAGGATAGCTAAACAACAGTGACAACTGCAACAACAACAAAAGAAATTAGCTGAGCATTGTGGTGGGCGCCTATAGGCCCAGCTACTTGGGGGGCTGAGGCAAGAGAATCGCTTAAGCCCAAGAGTTTCAGGTTGCTGTGAGCTGTGATGCTACAGCACTCTACCAAGGGCGACATAATGCACTGTCTCAATGAAAAAAAAAAAAAAAGAAAGAAAATATCACATATACCCCCCAAAGATGTTTTATAAGTATTATATTGTAACTATTACATATCAATTTAAAAAAAGACACACAAAAAGCAGTGCAGTATTTAGGTTGGTTTTCATATTGTACAGATATTGTTTTGGGTGTTTTGGGTTTTCTTTTTCTTTTTTTTTAGAGACAGAGTCCCACTTTATCGCCCGTGGTGTCACAGCTCACAGCAGTCTCCAGCTCTTGGGCTTAGGTGATTCTCTTGCCTCAGCCTCCTGAGTAGCTGGGACCACAGGTGCCCACCACAGCGCCCAGCTATTTTTTGTGTGTGTGTATGTGTGCATTTCTTGGCCAGGCCGGGTTTGAATCCACCAACTCCAGTATATGGGGCCAGTGCCCTGCTCCTTTGAGCCACAGTTGCAGTTTGGTGGGGGCTGGGTTTGAATTCACCAACTTCAGTATATGAGGCCGGTGCCCTCCTCACTGAGCCACAGCGCCTCCCTGTACAGATTTTGTTTTAATGAAAACATCATAAAGAAATAATATACTTTTTTCTTTTCATTGACCCTAATTTTATACTCTCCAGATTATTTTAGCAGAACCTAATATAGGCCCTTACATTTCACACCTTCTAAACTTAGTTCTGTTTCCTAGATCCTAGAAGACAGTATGATATTTTCTCTGGCCGGTTGCATAATAACTGCAAAATGTGAGTATAAATTTATTTCTTTTTCAGATAGATTAAAAATATACAAAAGTGAAGCTATTCTAAAACAAAGGAAACACTGTTTTCAAGACCTCTTTATAATTTCCTTTAGCTCTTTTTTATTTTAAAGGCTTGATTCACATAGGTGCCTTTTTTTTTTAACCTAAAGTGCTTGATGCCGCCTCTGAAAACTGCCATAAATTTCTTGACACGTTTTATGGATTGTGAATTCTAGTTAGTGCCTTTAAAATGAACTGCTATTGACACCTTTCCAACTGGAGCAGTGAGCTTTTCCATTTCCTGCTGTTGCTTTTCACTTCGACTCCAAGCCAGTCTGCTATTATTAAGGTCTACCAACAGAGGATGTAGGGCACAGAAATCATGATTTAGAAGAACGCCTCCTGTGGTGCAATCAAAGGTGATTTTTATTTAAAATTTTAAAATATGCTATATGTTTCTAAATTTCCTCACTGGTTTTAGATTAGTGGAATACCATTCAGTCATAGTTATTAAAATATTTTTAGAAACATAAAAATATACTAAGATAAAAATGCTTGAAAGAAGTATAATATTAGGACATCAGTTTAAAATTTAGAAAATTTATGTTCACTTGGAGAATTTCATTTACTGCTGTTTCTGTTTGAGGAAATTTTCTTTTTTTCTTTTTCTTTTTTTGAGAGAGAGTCTCAAGCTGTCACCCTGGGTAGAGTGCTATGACATCATAGCTCACAGCAACCTCAAACTCTTGGGCTTAAGTGAGTCTCTTGCCTCAGCCTCCCAAGTAGCCGGGACTATAGGTGCCCACCACAACACCCAACTATTTGTTATTGTTGTTGTTGTTGTTGTTGTTATTGTTGTTGCAGTTGTCATTGTTGTTTTAGCTGGCCCAGGCCAGGTTTGAACCTGCCAGCCTGAGTGTATGTGGCCAGCGCCCTACTCACTGAGCTACAGGTACTACCCTGTTTGAGGAAATTTTCTGAGGTTTTTTGTTTTGTTTTGTTTTTTTAAAAACGGGGTCTCATTTTGTCACCCTTGGTAGAATGCCATGGCATCACAGTTCACAGCAACTTCAAACTGTTGGGCTTAATCGACTGTTTTGCCTCAGCCTCCCAAGTAACTGGGACAACAGGTACCCACCATAATGCCCAGCTATTTTTTATTTATTTTTTATTTTTTTT